GTGAACTCAAATAAAATTTGCTTAGTATGTGAACTCAAATAAAATTTGTTAAGTATGTGAACTCAAATAAAACTTGTTTAGTATGTGAACTCAAATAAAATTTGTTTAGTATGTGAACTCAAATAAAATTTGTTAAGTATGTGAACTCAAATAAAATTTGTTTAGTATGTGAACTCAAATAAAATTTGTTTAGTATGTGAACTCAAATAAAATTTGCTTAGTATGTGAACTCAAATAAAATTTGTTTAGTATGTGAACTCAAATAAAATTTGTTTAGTATGTGAACTCAAATAAAATTTGCTTAGTATGTGAACTCAAATAAAATTTGTTTAGTATGTGAACTCAAATAAAATTTGTTTAGTATGTGAACTCAAATAAAATTTGCTTAGTATGTGAACTCAAATAAAATTTGTTTAGTATGTGAACTCAAATAAAATTTGCTTAGTATGTGAACTCAAATAAAATTTGTTAAGTATGTGAACTCAAATAAAACTTGTTTAGTATGTGAACTCAAATAAAATTTGTTTAGTATGTGAACTCAAATAAAATTTGTTAAGTATGTGAATTCAAATAAAATTTGTTTAGTATGTGAACTCAAATAAAATTTGTTTAGTATGTGAACTCAAATAAAATTTGCTTAGTATGTGAACTCAAATAAAATTTGTTTAGTATGTGAACTCAAATAAAATTTGCTTAGTATGTGAACTCAAATAAAATTTGTTAAGTATGTGAACTCAAATAAAACTTGTTTAGTATGTGAACTCAAATAAAATTTGTTTAGTATGTGAACTCAAATAAAATTTGTTAAGTATGTGAACTCAAATAAAATTTGTTTAGTATGTGAACTCAAATAAAATTTGTTTAGTATGTGAACTCAAATAAAATTTGCTTAGTATGTGAACTCAAATAAAATTTGTTTAGTATGTGAACTCAAATAAAATTTGTTTAGTATGTGAACTCAAATAAAATTTGCTTAGTATGTGAACTCAAATAAAATTTGTTTAGTATGTGAACTCAAATAAAATTTGTTTAGTATGTGAACTCAAATAAAATTTGCTTAGTATGTGAACTCAAATAAAATTTGTTTAGTATGTGAACTCAAATAAAATTTGCTTAGTATGTGAACTCAAATAAAATTTGTTAAGTATGTGAACTCAAATAAAACTTGTTTAGTATGTGAACTCAAATAAAATTTGTTTAGTATGTGAACTCAAATAAAATTTGTTAAGTATGTGAACTCAAATAAAATTTGTTTAGTATGTGAACTCAAATAAAATTTGTTTAGTATGTGAACTCAAATAAAATTTGTTAAATATGTGAACTCAAATAAAACTTGTTTAGTATGTGAACTCAAATAAAATTTGTTTAGTATGTGAACTCAAATAAAATTTGTTAAGTATGTGAACTCAAATAAAATTTGTTTAGTATGTGAACTCAAATAAAATTTGTTTAGTATGTGAACTCAAATAAAATTTGCTTAGTATGTGAACTCAAATAAAATTTGTTTAGTATGTGAACTCAAATAAAATTTGTTTAGTATGTGAACTCAAATAAAATTTGCTTAGTATGTGAACTCAAATAAAATTTGTTTAGTATGTGAACTCAAATAAAATTTGCTTAGTATGTGAACTCAAATAAAATTTGTTTAGTATGTGAACTCAAATAAAACTTGTTTAGTATGTGAACTCAAATAAAACTTGTTTAGTATGTGAACTCAAATAAAATTTGTTTAGTATGTGAACTCAAATAAAACTTGTTTAGTATGTGAACTCAAATAAAATTTGTTTAGTATGTGAACTCAAATAAAACTTGTTTAGTATGTGAACTCAAATAAAATTTGCTTAGTATGTGAACTCAAATAAAATTTGTTTAGTATGTGAACTCAAATAAAACTTGTTTAGTATGTGAACTCAAATAAAATTTGTTTAGTATGTGAACTCAAATAAAACTTGTTTAGTATGTGAACTCAAATAAAATTTGTTTAGTATGTGAACTCAAATAAAATTTGTTTAGTATGTGAACTCAAATAAAATTTGTTTAGTATGTGAACTCAAATAAAATTCGCTTAGTATGTAAACTCAAATAAAATTTGTTTAGTATGTGAACTCAAATAAAATTTGTTTAGTATGTGAACTCAAATAAAACTTGTTTAGTATGTGAACTCAAATAAATTTCGCTTAGTATGTGAACTCAAATAAAATTTGTTTAGTATGTGAACTCAAATAAAATTTGTTTAGTATGTGAACTCAAATAAAACTTGTTTAGTATGTGAACTCAAATAAAACTTGTTTAGTATGTGAACTCAAATAAAATTTGTTTAGTATGTGAACTCAAATAAAACTTGTTTAGTATGTGAACTCAAATAAAACTTGTTTAGTATGTGAACTAAAATAAAATTTGTTTAGTATGTGAACTCAAATAAAACTTGTTTAGTATGTGAACTCAAATAAAATTTGCTTAGTATGTGAACTCAAATAAAACTTGTTTAGTATGTGAACTCAAATAAAATTTGTTTAGTATGTGAACTCAAATAAAATTTGTTTAGTATGTGAACTCAAATAAAATTTGTTTAGTATGTGAACTCAAATAAAATTTGTTTAGTATGTGAACTCAAATAAAATTTGTTTAGTATGTGAACTCAAATAAAATTTGTTTAGTATGTGAACTCAAATAAAATTCGCTTAGTATGTAAACTCAAATAAAATTTGTTTAGTATGTGAACTCAAATAAAATTTGTTTAGTATGTGAACTCAAATAAAATTTGTTTAGTATGTGAACTCAAATAAAATTTGTTTAGTATGTGAACTCAAATAAAATTCGCTTAGTATGTAAACTCAAATAAAATTTGTTTAGTATGTGAACTCAAATAAAATTTGTTTAGTATGTGAACTCAAATAAAATTTGTTTAGTATGTGAACTCAAATAAAATTTGTTTAGTATGTGAACTCAAATAAAATTTGTTTAGTATGTGAACTCAAATAAAATTTGCTTAGTATGTGAACTCAAATAAAATTTGTTTAGTATGTGAACTCAAATAAAATTCGCTTAGTATGTAAACTCAAATAAAATTTGCTTAGTATGTGAACTCAAATAAAATTTGCTTAGTATGTGAACTCAAATAAATTTCGCTTAGCATGTAAACTCAAATAAAATTTGTTTAGTATGTGAACTGAAATAAAATTTGCTTAGTATGTGAACTCAAATAAAATTTGTTTAGTATGTGAACTCAAATAAAATTCGCTTAGTATGTAAACTCAAATAAAATTTGTTTAGTATGTGAACTCAAATAAAATTTGCTTAGTATGTGAACTCAAATAAAATTTGCTTAGTATGTGAACTCAAATAAATTTCGCTTAGTATGTAAACTCAAATAAAATTTGTTTAGTATGTGAACTCAAATAAAACTTGTTTAGTATGTGAACTCAAATAAAACTTGTTTAGTATGTGAACTCAAATAAAATTTGTTTAGTATGTGAACTCAAATAAAACTTGTTTAGTATGTGAACTCAAATAAAACTTGTTTAGTATGTGAACTCAAATAAAATTTGTTTAGTATGTGAACTCAAATAAAATTTGTTTAGTATGTGAACTCAAATAAAACTTGTTTAGTATGTGAACTCAAATAAAATTTGTTTAGTATGTGAACTCAAATAAAATTTGTTTAGTATGTGAACTCAAATAAATTTCGCTTAGTATGTAAACTCAAATAAAATTTGTTTAGTATGTGAACTCAAATAAAATTTGTTTAGTATGTGAACTCAAATAAAACTTGTTTAGTATGTGAACTCAAATAAAATTTGTTTAGTATGTGAACTCAAATAAAACTTGTTTAGTATGTGAACTCAAATAAAACTTGTTTAGTATGTGAACTCAAATAAAATTTGTTTAGTATGTGAACTCAAATAAAATTTGTTTAGTATGTGAACTCAAATAAAACTTGTTTAGTATGTGAACTCAAATAAAATTTGTTTAGTATGTGAACTCAAATAAAATTTGTTTAGTATGCGAACTCAAATAAAATTTGTTTAGTATGTGAACTCAAATAAAATTTGTTTAGTATGTGAACTCAAATAAAACTTGTTTAGTATGTGAACTCAAATAAAACTTGTTTAGTATGTGAACTCAAATAAAATTTGTTTAGTATGTGAACTCAAATAAAATTTGTTTAGTATGTGAACTCAAATAAAACTTGTTTAGTATGTGAACTCAAATAAATTTCGCTTAGTATGTGAACTCAAATAAAATTTGTTCAGTATGTGAACTCAAATAAAACTTGTTTAGTATGTGAACTCAAATGTGCTTAATTCTTCAAGTGTTTTTAATCTTTAAATGTATATAGCTCTTTTTATAAATCAAATATAAGAATAAAACATTATTTTATATAAAAATAAGCTTTAATATTTTTTATTATTTATTTAAAATTTTTGATTTTTTTTAAATTAAGAGCTTTTTTTTTACAAAATTAATTTCTCTACGGTTAGAAATTTATAGCTTTAATTTTGTTAAAACTAGCCTGGAGCCTTAACTATAATTGAGTTATCCTGTAGATTTAATCACATTCGAGCTAACCTGCAGATAAATAATTGAGACTAAAATGAAAGCTTCAAAAACTAGTTTAAAAAAGCAATTTGTGCATAAATCTTTTAAAACCTTTTATTTAATACATCTCTAAAAAGTTTTTTGATATTAACTTTATGTGTCATATAACTGTTCATTTAACAGCTTTTTGCTCCTGTAATTCATTTTTCAATCTGTTTGAAGAAATATGTTTGTAATTTTGCTAATAAAATACGTATTTAAAATCCTTTAGCAGTTTTGTAAGGGATCGTTCATAAATTACGTCACGTTCTAGGTTGTGGGATGGGGTTTGTGCACTGTGACGACTCATATGAGACATGTTACTAAAGATTTACAAAGTTGTGACAAGGGAGGGGGGTGAGTAAGGGGTCAAAAACTATTCAAAATTGTGCGACGTAATTTATGGACAACCCTTAAGAGTTTTTATCGACATTAAAATACTTTTAAATGTAAAATAGTTATATACTTTAATTTGTTTATGAATGAATGGTTTCAAAACTCTGCAAGTTTTTGTTTTTGGGGATGGCTTCTACATTCACAGCCACTGGAAGTGTTTTATTTGCATTCACTCTTGCTATTGATTCATGGAGAACAAAAGATGTTTATGATAAAAACCAAAGCCTATCCGTTTTGAGTATTACCCAAGGCATACTTCACGAATGTGTCAACAATGGAACCCGCTTAAATACGTGCAAATCATGGAAAACAGTGGATGATCTCATAGGTTTTTATAAACTATTTTGTATATAAATATATATATATATATATATATATATATATATATACATATATATATATATATATATATATATATATATATATATATATATATATATATATATATATATATATATATATATATATATATATATATATATATATATATATATATATATATATAAAATCACATATTTAATGCAGCACGTTTTAGTCCATTTTAGAGGTTTTGCTTTAATTGTAGCTATTAATTTGGCTTCAAATCTAAATCCTTTTATTTTTTTCAAGCAGGATGCATAGTGCCTTGTATGCAGTATACATTAATACTAGCATCTTAAAGCAATAATTTATCAGCTTTTGTTGCAGAAAATCTGTTTTCCAGTCAAATTTTTATTCTGACCTTGGAGTAAAAAAAGGCATCCTACCGCATCTTTTCTTTCATTTCGAGTTCCATTTATCTACAAACTCAATATTTTTTTATTTGATGTAAGGTAGCTTCAAAAACTTTTAACCTTTGAAATATTCTGCGGTTTGAAAATACTTTAGTATTAACGAGGGCCTTTAATTTGGGTTTTTTACGCGGTGAAAGGTCACTTTTTTTACCCATAATTAAAATGTTCCAACTGATTATTTAAACACTGAACACAAGTAGATAATGCTTTAATTAATCCACTGAATTAACTAAAAGAATCATCCCAATCTAGAAAAAAATGTTATAAAGCTAAAACTTTGCACAAGTGAACATAAATATGATACTTCACCAAAAAAAAGCGCTACCAATTAGAGCATTGGATGGCTTATTAGATTAAAAACGCTATATATACGTCTTTACAAAAATCTGCTACTTTATTAGCCGTGGTGGCCAGAATTATACCATTTCACAATTATACCATTGACTTACGCTTTAAACCAATAGGTTCAAATCTCTAATTAAAGATATTTAGAAAGTTTTGCTAAAAGCCGTAAAGTTTTATTTACCTGGTCATCAGGTCTATGTTTAGTGTTTTCTTGAGACCTAAATGAGATTAATTCCTTGTTATTAAAGTTCTGCGCTTTTTTAAAAAAAAAGCATCACAACTGGGTTGTGCTATGTGATAGCCGTGAACTAGTGCTTTCTGCGTGGGTTGGGGTGTGTAACATCTACTGTAATGCAAATACCTAGTAAATGTTCAAGCTATAATTTTAAAACAGGTCAAAATTGAATTTATATTTAGGAGAATATTAAATGAAATGAGGAAATTAAATCAGCAGTTATATATAGAAGATTTGATTTAAATAATTTTAGTTTTATAGTTTATTAAGGATAGAATTGCAGACTCCCTTTCTTTTGGTTTGTAGTACCTTAAACGCTGCGTAATCAATCTTTCTAAGTAACAACTCCCTAACTTATTTTATGATAAAAATGATTTTGCATGCAAAGTAAACCATCTTTATATTAATGAGCTTTTTGTCATTTAGTTTTAAAAAATGAGTTATTTAATTGCTAATTAAAAAGCTTTTTTAATTGCTAATTAAAAAAATAGTTTTAGCTCAATCTAGTGCTGAGACTATATGAGAGTTATTGAAAATGTTCTAAAATAATTAACCCTCTTTTTAAACTTTTCATATTTTATATAGCTGAGCTATTTATATTTTGTCACTGCTTTGATCTTCTGATGATAATTTATATAGCTGAGCTATTTATTTTTTGTCACTATTATGAAACTTTGATGATAATTTGTCATTTGGTTTTGCTTAAATCTCTTTTAAACAATAAAAATTATAATATAAAAATCAAAGAAAATTCTGTAAGTTAATTGTTTTGTTTTTAAAGGCGTTTAAAACCACTGCATTCTGAGTGTTCTAGAGCATAAAAAAAAGGTTCCAAAATATTCTTATGGCTCTTAGAATATTTAAAAAGTTACTGCTAATATAACATTTGTTCAGAAAATTGTATTTAAGTAAATACTTTTTATCATTTTTAAAAAAATCCTTTGGTTTTAAATGATTAATTTTTTTTCAATTGAAGGCATAGAAAATAAAAAAAGAAACTTTAGCTCAGTTGATGGGAACGTTGAAAAAAAAACTCGTTTCCACACCTGCATTTGTACCAACAATAGATAGATAAGTTCGAAATGCTATGTTCACATTTGGGAAACTTGTTACAAGGTTGTCACTAATTTGGGCACGAATCATCTTAGCTACTGATCTTTTATCATTATACATGTTCGCAAATAATAAAAACTCTTCAATGAAGCTATTTTCAATACCGGAATGATATAGTTTGAAAAGATTCTCTGATTTATGAACTGCTTCATTTCTACTCATTGATCTGTCCAGTTAAAAATTGAATGTCTTATCAAGAGATTTATGTGTTTTTTGTTGCTTTGTCATTTCTACTGCCAGCCTGTCAATTATTGGGTAAAACGGTTCTGTACGTAGTTTGTCACTAGGTGATAGATTTAAGATAGAGTCTTTCCTATCTAAAACCATATATGAAAAATGAGTGTTCTTTCTTTTATGTTGTTTTCATGCTTTGTATTCAGAGGCTGTAAGTTCCCCCTTACCATTGTTTCTAAAACATCAAACTTGTTTCGAGCTTCTTGAAAATATGGTATTAAGCCAGTGGCGGATTAAGACTTCTTGGGGCCCGGGGCTATTTTTGGAGGCCTTTTTAGGCCAGAGCCTAAAAATAACTAAAAAAAAAAAAAGGTCCTCTAAAATTTTTAGGGGCCCCTAAATTTGTGGGGCCTGGGACTATAGCCCCCTAGCCCCCCTTGATCCGGCGCTGTATTAAGCTATCGTAAATTTTACAATGACACAATTTGATTCCAGGCTTCTGTATTGATTTATTGACAATGTTAATACTATGCATCAAATACTTTATTCAATTACACACATCAAAGTATTTCTAAAATTTTTAGGTTTTTAATTAAGCACCTTGTTTCATGAATTGTTTTGGGGGTGGTGTAAATATAAATATAGTTTACTAATAGAAAATTTTTAGCATCATTTTGTGCAGAGCATCCTGAATCAGATAAGGTTTTAAAACTTTACTATTTTTTTTTGTGTTTTCTAACAATTTAGTCCATCTTAGAGGTGACGCGAACAAAAACATAAACCGTTTGTACGATTTCAAAAAAATGCACTGCCGATAGACAACAGTCTACAGCTGTTAATCTAACTAAATTAAGAATATGAGCTGCACATGGAACCAATTCAGCTAGTAAATTGTCTGGAATAAATTTAGTAAATCAATTTAACTAACCGCAATTCCATCTGCATCTGAACCAAACGTACATCTGCATCTAAAGTAATAAGTTGTGATTGTGAACTGATCAATACGAGTAATATGAGGTGTTGAATACTGAACCCATAATATTTAGCAGTTTTAATTTCAGATACTATATGATTATTAACTTTGGATCCCAATATATCAATAAATTTTTCAAATATATTAACAGACAGATAATAGTATCATATCTGTCTATTAGTATACCGTTGCATACCTTTTCCTAATTTTCCATATTTTCGAATATGTTTTTTTAGAAATGGATCAAATTTAGCTAAAAGGTCAATTCAACCAAAAAAATTTTTATTATTAGCACAGTTGTGCATTTGAGTGTTGCCACAAAGTGCTAAACCTTACTCAGCAAAAAATTTAGTTACAGCTACCATTCGTTTCAATTCTCCAATCCAGTATGTGCGCAATTTTTTCTCTACTTTTTGTATTTCTTCATCAATTCTATTATAATTTTGGTACTGGATCCCAGATGGTAAACCACTAAGATATTACCTTGGCATTTTATGGGTTGATATTATTGAAGTCGCATTCCTCCATTGATCAAATCCTTATTGAAATGTATTTACAAATTCATTTGGTGCCAAACAGTTTGCAAACATATTAATAAACTTTTCCAGTTGATGGAGATTATATTAGCCAATCCCTCTGAAATATTTCTCCGTTTGCTAATCATTTGGCAAGGTAATCTGCATATATCGTAATTGATCTCCATAATTTCTTCCTTTCAGCCGGAAATCGGAATCTTTATTTTGAGAAGGAAAGTTTTTGGGAAAATTTTGAATGTGTTCTAAAGTAATTTTCCATTCGGTACCAGCCTCCATGTAGTAGGATCGGTATTGTATCGGTACCAGCCTCCATGTAGTAGGATCGGTATTGTATCGGTACCAGCCTCCATGTAGTAGGATCGGTATTGTAATTAAAATTAATATTCACTTCTCTTAATCATTCATCATGTGTTCAAATTAGGGAATGGATAGTTTAAATTTTTAATATTTGATTGTTATTATCATTAATGCTTTTATCTCCGAGGTCTATCCTTTCTTTTGTGTCCGTCTAACATTTTACTTTATAAAATTGAAATACATTTAAAGTGAAAAACAAAAACAAAATAAATGTAATATAGATATATAAAGAGACTTGTCACTTTTTTTCAGATTTCTCTCAACCGATTATTTAGTGAAGTTAAAAAATATTTTTGTTTTTATATGTAAGTTTTTCATAAAGTTTCACCAACAAATCGTGATTCAATACCGGTCTAGCTCATTATACTATGTAATCGCCGCTCTGCTTATTTTTTATTTTTTTTATTTTTTATTTTTTGATATTTATTTTTCCTTCTACAATAAGTATAACTTTCATATACATATACAATAAAATAAGTAATGGCTGGAGTAAGAAGAAGACATAATTTTGTCTTATCACCGAGCCCCATTTTTATAAAATCGCGATATATAAATAATATATTGGCGTAATTGCTAAAATGCGTACATTATCTGCAGTTGCAAAAAGAAAAAAAATGCAGCTGCAGTTGCAAAAAAAAAACGATTATATACTTGTAATAAAATAAAATAAGATAAAAAAAAAGAAGATATATACATTTATTTATTTATTATTATATATTTATATTATTAAGAGAGTAATATCATTAATAAACTTTGTTATTGTGGGTTGTGATAATAACATTCTTTTAAAATAATTTTTTTTTTTTAAGTCATCTTGATTTTTTATTAAAGCTTTACTTACTAAAAAAAAACATTTAAAATCTAGCATAGTGAGATCCATAAATAAGAACAACCGTTTAGATTCTTTTTTAAATCGATCAAGAGTGGTTTTTATTTTATTTGAAATATCTGAAAATAAATTCCATAAATAAGGTCCACGATACTTAATTGAGTATGTACTCAATTTCAGACTATATCTTGGGACAGCAAAGTAGTTTACTGAGACTCTTGTGCTATATTTATGAAAGATTTCACTAAAATAGGATTCAAATATTTTTAGCGACATTCCTTAGTTCTATACATAAAAACTGAAATTTCATGTATATTTATTTTATAAATGTTTAAAGCTCCAAGTAAACACAATAAAGGCTCACAGGGTTCTGCTCTATTTGCTCCAAGTAAAATTGGACATGCATGTTTTTGTTTACTGTAAAGCTTTTTTAATTTTGTATGATTGGTACTTGCCCAGGCGATATTACAGTATGATAGGTAACTTTGGATAAAAGCAAAATATAAACCTTTTAGTGATTTAAAATTAAGAAATGGTTTTTAGCTCTATAAATCATTCCTATATTTCTAGAAATTTTTTTTTCAAGGCTGTTTATATGAAAATTCCATCTTAAATTTTCGTCCAATTCAACGCCTAAAAAGTTTACCGATGATTCTCTTTTAACTATAGCTTTATTTATAATAAGATTTGGTAATTTTAATGGGACGTTATCAGTTTTATTCAATTTTTGGAATTTTGCTTATCAGTTAAATTATTATAATTAAACTCTACTGTGTTACTAGTTTCTGAACTTAAAAAATTTAGAAAAAATAATTTTAATAAAAAATAAACGTTTACGGTAGTATATTAGTTATAAAGTAGTTTCCATTTGAAATTAAAACAAAAATATCTCCTGAATATTACGATTTTTTCACAATTTTTTATTCTTATTCTTCTTACTATTGCTATTGTTATTGCTATTATTATTCTTTTTATTATTAACTGTTGTTATAATAATTAGTAAAGTATTTACGCTTTTTTCTTATAGAATTCCAGGAACTCCTATTTTCATTAATTATATCTGCTGCTATTTGCGGTGGCTTAAGTTTACTTATTTCGTTCGTTGCGACAACGTCACTAACACCAAAATTTGTAGCTCCTGTTACGGCTTTGGAATTTGTTTCAAGTAAGCTTCTAACTTTGTTACTAAAAATAAAAAAAAACAAAAAAGAAAAAAAAGAAATTATTTAATTTTTTTGTCTTTTTTTTAATTATAAGATGTAATATTTAAGACGCATTTTTATGTTTTAAACAAAAATCTAAACAACAATAAAGTATTATTTGTTTTCTACAAAGCATCTCTTTGATTAGCAATTTTTTTTTGAAATAGTTTATAGTTATATATAAAATAATATAACTATAAATTATTTAAAAAAAAATGTATATATATATATATATATATATATATATATATATATATATATATATATATATATATATATATATATATATATATATATATATATATATATATATATATATATATATATATATATATATATGTATATATGTATATATATATATAAGAAAAAAAATTAAAATGTTTAAAAAAATTTGTAGAGCAACATTTATTTTAAGGTCTTGGCATTGTTGGTTTGTTTATAGTTAAAGTTATTATTTTTAATATTTTTAGGTCTTATCGGCACGACAATGACAATATTCTATAATCTAATATATAAAATAGAACCTTGGTCACTCGGTCCATCATACTTTATTTTGGTTGTAGCAACATCTTTTATGATTTGTGGGCTAGTTATTCATTTTTTTATAGGAGACGTTAAGTTGTTTGGAAAGAAGTTTTGCGTTGATTCGCCTTTTACATATCGCTACACAAAGACAGAAAATGGCGAGATGTTGGGGGTCATTTAAAAAATAAGATACATAGGAGGTTCGACTAGGAACAATGAGGTGCTAAAAGGTTGCTTCTATCAAATATTTGATTATAGCAACTTATAAGTTACGAAACCGCCGATCAAAAAAATAAATTTATAATTTTAAATTTGATTACAATTGTTGTAAATATAAAAGATAATGACGTAAATCATTTAGAGATAATTTTCAGCATTCACGGTTTACCAAAGCTGCAAATTGTTAACAAAATAAGTAAAAAATAATAAAATTTTTTATCTATTAACTGTTATGTAAACCATTAACGTCTTTAGTGGACTTCTCATATTAAATGCCATAGGGAAAAAAAAAGAAAACTTAGTTATTCGCATTAAAAAAACAATGTTAAAATCAATATTTCCACAAAATTGTTATTTTTAATATGTAAGTGTGAAATTATAAGGTAATAAATATAAAACTTTAGCGTAAGCAAAAGGTACAATGATTTAAAATGATGTTTTGAGTTTTCAAAAAAACGCAGACCAGATGTTAGACTGACTTAGGTGAAGGAGTGCTGCTAAATTGACTGATTTAAACCTGTTGCAACCTTAATCTTCAGTCGATGTAGCAGCATTCTTTTGTGTGTTTCACTTAAATCAGGCAATGCAGCAGTACTCTCTTATATTTATACCTAATTAAGTATGATATCTCGGCTGGTTTTTTTTGAAACTCAAAACATTATTTTAAATCATAGGTAATTTAATGGCAAACCAAAATAGCATATTTGCGTAAAAAAAGGAAAAAAAACGTTGGTTGGGTAAGTTTTTAACAACTGTTCCAAATATCAAGAAATAATCCCAACAAGCATTGATTTGCGTTTCTCAATGTTGAAATGCAAGAGCCAAATATGTGACCATTCTAATGCTCTGTCAATGTCAGCTTGAAGAGTGATGCTTTCCGACTCATTTTTAATTATTATAATAATTGTTAGTGTCGTCAGCATACAGTTTCGAATGATAAATGATGCTGTACGGCAGGTCATTAATGAAGATTACAAAAAGCAATAAGCCCAAGACCGAGCCTTTAGGCACGCCACTAGTGACCGTTTGCCATTCAGATGTGTTTCCGTTGATTACTACTCGTTGACTTTGGTTGCGTAACTATGCTGAAATCCAGTCTAAAAGTGCGCCTTGAATACTGCAGGCTTTTAACTTAAAAAGAAGGCGTTTATGCGGCGCTTTGTCAAACAGCATCGCAAAGTCTGTGTCTGAGACGCAACCTTTGTGATAAACAAAGCCACACTGCTTTGGAGTAAATAAGTCTTCAACAATAAAGTGTTCCATTATGCTTGTTTGAAAAATATTTTCACTCATTTTGCATGGAATAGATGTGAGCAAGATAAGCTGGTAGTTTGATGCATTTATTTTACTCCCCTTCTTGTAAATAGGTGATAAATTCAATTTTCTCTACAAGTTGAGAACTAAAAAAGTGAATCTACAAGTGCAAACGCGCACTTGTAGATAAGCGAAAAAGGTTTGGCAAAGGTAACTGCACATTTACTAAAGAACCGTGGATGTAAGCTGTCGTAGCCGGTAAACTTTCTTTCATCAAGGTAGTTAAGGCACTTTGGTACTACATTGATAGAAAAACTTGCTGGGTTGGCTACCCAATTTGCTTGTACAACTTTTAAAAGCTGGCATTGGACCTTCGGGCTCCAAAACAAAAACCGATTGAAAATATTTACTCAACAATGAGCATATATCGCCGGTATCGATAGTGATTTTGCTACTAACTGTTTCTAACAATGTAAAAGTGTTCATGACGCTCTGTTTGCGTTGTACATGTGCATGTAAGCATGCACATGTACAAAGCACTTGTTCATGACGCTCTGTTTACTTTGTACATGTGCATGCAATTTGTGCGTATCGTGACATGCATTAATACACCAGGCCCAAGAGGTGCCTAAAGTCTTAACCATTTTAACAAGATCTGGTATTACCCATTGGTCCTGTTTCTCGGTGAAGGGAGTAGTTGCTGAAGGAATGTGTAGTTTGATGGCTTTGATTTAAAAGTCGCAAATCCGACAAGCACCTTGTCGGTCTCACTTTGCGGTGGACCAACGGCCCCGCTCCGAAATCCAACTACAAGCTTTTTAACACCTTGATAATTGAAACCAATTGATCCTCTTTAAAGGACTTAATTTGTTTGTTTAAAAAAAAAAGACTTTTAAATGTTAAAATGATGTTTTTACTAGCTACGGGTTTTTCTTTTTTCTCTTTTTTTTTTGCTTCCACAGCAGCACCTTCTGGAGTGTCAGGATTGCTTGTTCTTTATTAAGTTTTAGATCATAAATTTTTTCTGACCTCCCGCAGCTTATTATCGCTAATTACCTGAAGACATTAATAACGAAAATCTTTACCATGAAATATGCGCACCAAATTTTTCCCAGTGTTTTGATGTTTTTAGAAATTTTGAGCTTTTTTAAAAATTCTCTACTTTTCGTTTGTTATAGTATTTAATATTTTTATATATGTTATGTATATAATATTTATAAAACTTCGATTTTAGAAAGTTGGTATATTTTATGTCGAAAAATAATTTTGCACTTAAACAATTATTGAGAAATACAAAAATTATAAAATATCACATATTTTTTAATTTTTTCTAATAAAAAACATGATATATTTTATGAGCAGCCGTAGCGCAGTGATAGAGCACTTGCCTTAAAAACAAAGGATTCGTGGTTCAAACCCCATCTCTAGGCAAGCTTTGCGACATCAGTTAGGAAGGAGGCGTAAACTTTCAATTAAATGGTCATCAGGGTGCTCGGTGATAAGACCGTAAGGACTTTTTGAAGAACCTAAATAGAATTATATATATATATATATGTATATATATATATATATATATATATATATATATATATATATATATATATATATATATATATATATATATATATATATATATATATATTTGTATATATATATATATATATATATATATATATATATATATATATATATATATATATATATTTTATACATATATACTATATATAAGATAACTGTAATATTAAAGAATAAATTGTGCAGATATGGGAGGTAACTAACAAAGTAGCTTTTAATTTTTGAACTATTTATTCTATTATTATTCTATTATTATTTATTATTATTTATATTTATCAATATTATTATTTAAATATTTATTATATTATATTATAATAATTTATGAACATTGCATACCAGGAATGTCATTGGAGTGTTTTGGCCAAAATACTCCAATAACAATCCTAATATGCAATGTTCTAGAAATATCTATCAATACTGGTTCCATGGTTGATCATTGAACCATTTTCTTTCGGCATTTCATTTTCGGTTGATCATTTTTTTTTGGCAGTTTGATAAAAACCTTCACAATAAGTAATGTTAAAAAAATGAACTTTTTATTGCCAAATGATGGAAAAGATAAAAGTTGTCATTTATTTCATGCAGAATTAAAACTTTTTATGAACACATTTACTTATTGTGATTGTTCAACAAACAATAAAAAATTAAACTTTTGTGGCAAAGACAAAAAATATTTCCAGGAACTTTCAAAAGCTTTCAAGCTAATGGCTTCAACACAAGTGTCTATTTCAAAAAAAAATTTGCGTTCGACTATGTCAAATGTTAAATTAGATTTATTAGTTTTGTTGGTGTTTACACCCCTCACTGTGTATGCTAGATCCTTTTCAGGTACACAATTGCCTAATCAATAAAAATGTATTTGGCCAACATTAGACTAACTAAATTATACTTTTTCTCTCTTTTTAACTTGTCTCTTTTTTTTTTATCAAAAATAAACAGTTTAATTTTTTAATAAAAAATTCTCATCAAAATTGACCTAGGCAAAATATTTTTTATTAAAGGTGACGTAAGCTATTGTGAAGAATTAAAAAGAGAAGTCGAAATAACCCGTTAAAGAATACGAAATGTAAAATAATTAATACATTGTGTGATAGTAACATAGACTGAATACTATTTATTTCTTTTTTATTATAAAATTATAAAATTATTTTTTTTACTTTTAAAAAAGCTTTTTGGTGATAATAAAAACAAAAATTTTACTCCATAAAATTTTTTATGCTCAAGAGTATTAGTTATAAAAATGCAACATAAATCTTTTTAAATAAATCTTAGAACATTTTATTTCAACCGATTTCGATTGAGGTTTAACTCAATTAATCGCCAAAATAATTTTTTTTCCATTAATCCAAACATTTCCCATAATGCACAACTATAATTGCCGTTCTAGTTTTACAAGCATGCTTGTTTAGTTCACATTCGTTATCGTATGTCATGTTGTCAGAACCACAAACAATCGTAACATTTTGTGGACACGACCATTTGCAATCTATAATGCAGTATATATATATATATATATATATATATATATATATATATATATATATATATATATATATATATATATATATATATATATATATATATATATATATATATATATATATATATATATATATATATATATTAGATTGATTAGTATATAAGATTGATTAGTAAGTGATAACTAATGCGCAATAGCAATAACCTTTGCATAAATCTTTATCGTTGTTCATGTTATTCTTCAAAGTTGTGCTTACTGTTTTGTTTTTTTCGCAGTTCTTCATAATCATTAAGCACTCGTTAGCGTAAACTTTCCCATCACTACCGCAGACTGGCTTCATCATTCTTCCGCACTGATTTAAACACTTAAAATCATCTAATTACAAAATATGGTTCATAATATATACAAAATTTATTACTAAGAAATAGGTTAATTAATTTATTGCATAACTTATTATAACAACACTTTTTGTCTTCAAAAATTGAATTATAATAATAATTGAATAAAGCTATAAAAATTTTAAAACATTAAAGATCATACTATTAATAAGTCAAAGTAATCAAAAATACTTTTACACCAACTAGGTTACCTACAGTTTTAGTTTTTTCAAATCAAAACAAAATTATTGTTAAATTTTTACAAAATCTATTGTGAATTTTAGAATTTTAACCAGTAGCCCAATTGATTCGACCAATGATATATTATATATATACTAGATGTATAACTTTGATCCGGAATATAGTCTTTTTTAAAAAAATAGCGGATAATTTGTAAACAAATATTATTTAACTTAAAAATGAAGTAAATACATTTTAAATATAAATACTATTTATGTAAAAAGTGTCAGAAGGAAATTAGAATACTTGTAAAGTATTACTTTATGTTTCCTAAATTTATTTCCAATTAGAAAGGGATTGAAGTTTTAAATAGAAAAGTGAAACGACAGACGTTTTTGAAGCATTTTTATGAATTATAATACTTTTTACAGGGTTATGCAAAATTATAAAGTGCTTTATGCAAAATTATAAAGTGCTTTATGCAAAATTTCGAATCGTTTAATAAATCCATTTAAAGCATAAAAAAGTTCGAATATATGATTTATTTATATATAAGCTCATGTCATTTAACATTTAGACTTCAAAAAAATTATATTAATTTAAGCAACTACTTTATTCAAAAATCATGTTTTGTTTAGCTTTTTCCAACCATCGTTCCATTGATCTCCAAAATCCACTTAATTCTTCATTAATTTCACGCATTCGATTGAAAATTATTTCCAATGCATCTCTAATATTAATTTCATTATTTAAAGCTTTTATTCCGCGATATCTTGCCTTTATCATGCTAAAAAATTCCTCAATGGGATTTAATTGAGACCATGCCGGTAAATATTCTCTATTTATTCTTAATTCATTTAAAACTTCTATAATACTTCTTGATCTGTGAAATGGAACATTATCCATTATCAGTATATAGTCTGGGTTTTGTCGGAAATAATTACGCAGGTTATTTTTTATAAACCTTTCAAAGCTTTCAGCATTATAAGCTCCAGTTCTTAATTCATAAGCAACTACACCAGAAATATTTATTGCACACATCAAACTTCGATTTGTATTTCTGTTTCCGGAAAAAATGGAATATGCCTTTTCATTTTTTTGGGAATACTCATATCGTCTTCTCAAATGCTGATTAAATCCTGACTCGTCTAAAAAAACCAATTTATCACTAGAAATACGAGAGATACAGCGGGCATATATGGTTCTTTTTTCAAAATTTGCTGGGGAATTTCGTTCTTCGGGAACCAATGAAAGCCTTTTTCGCGTTATATTTATTTTCCGCAATTTCCTTGATAATGTTGATTGAGATATTACCATACCGGTTGCTGCATTAACTTCATTTACCATTTCATTTTGTGTCAGTTCATTATTTATTGCTATCGTATTAAATAAAGAATTTTCGATTTCACTGAACAACAAATTTTTGTTTTTGATTGTTTGCTTGTGGCGTTCTCCCTTAGTAGCAAATTTGATGCCTTCTTGATGATTTCTTATGCAGTTTCTTACAGCACTTTGGCTAATGTTTAAAGTTTCGGCAATGTATTTGGTTGAATGATTATTTATCGAATTAGACATGTTTATAATTGTTTCATGAATTTCTATAGTTATCGTTATTCGACTTTTTCTTGCCATGTAAGGTTTTAAATTTTTATTTTTTAACATTAATTTAAAAAACTTGCATTAATTAGATAAAAACGTTACTGATTTGGTTTATGTTTTTCAGCCAGTTAGTCATTTAATTTTTAATTACAATTTAATATTGTGTTTTAATTCCTATGCATTCTTAGATGATTCTGAAAATGACCTGTAATGGCATTTATTTATTGTTAAATAAAGCAATTTATAATTTTGCATAAAGCAATTTATAATTTTGCATAAAGCACTTTTTAATTTTGCATAAAGCACTTTATAATTTTGCATAAAGCACTTTAAAATTTTGCATAACCCTGTAATAAACCTAGACTCATAAAAAAACTTTTAAAAGTATTTTAAAGTTATTAAAACGTGTTTTTGAATTATCTTTAATTTAGTGGAAATATTTGACTTACATTTTTAACTTTTATTCCACATATCGGTTTCAGCTTTTGCCCTTTATAGATAAGGCTTATTTTATAAGTTTATTTTATAAATATATTTTATATTTATTAAAAAAAAAAAAACAGCTTCATTTTTCGTCCGAAAAACCCCCGCAAGTTTGATATCTAGTTTATATAACAAATCAGGGCTCCTAATGATCCTACTGATCGAGAAACGAGCTGTAGAAGAAAATAAAAATTAAATATGTGTTTTTATTATATATATATATATATATATATATATATATATATATATATATATATATATATATATATATATATATATATATATATACATATATATATATATATATATATATATATATATATACTATTATATATATATACTATTGTATATACATATTATTATTATATATATATATATATATATATATATATATATATATATATTATATATATATATATATATATATATATATATATATTTATATATAATATATATATATATATATATTTATATATATATATATATATATATATATATATATATATATATATATATAATATATATATATATATATATATTTATATATATATATTTATATATATATATATATATATATATATATATATTTATATATATATATATGTATATATATATATATATATACATATACATATATATATATATATATATATATATATATATATATATATATATATATATATATATATATATATATATATATATATATATATATATGTATATGTATATATATATATATATATATATATATATATATATATATATATATATAATATATATATATATATATATATATATATATATATATATATATATATATATATATATATATATATATATATATATAAATATATATATATATATATATATATATATATATATATATATATATATATATATATATATATATATATATATATATATATATATATATATATATATTAGGATCAGGGGCGGATACAGGATTTTTTGAAGTTTGAAATAACTAACTTCCAGACATGGAGCGAACTCGAAACTTTTATATGTTTATAGTTATATTAAATATGGATACTTTGCAAAAAATTGAGATGATAGGAGCCTGGGAACAAAAAAGCTCCAAAATTTTTGCTACACCTGCCCCAAACGTGAGAGCAACAAGTTGATAAAAAAAGTTTTTTACTTTTCTCAACTAAATCTATATTCATCGAGAAGTTTTTAATTTTGTAAAACAATCTTTTAGCGTTCAATAATAATGGTCTTATAAAATTTGTAACCCCCTCAAATTGAGGGGGATTCAAACTTTATGTGGCTATAACTTTTGAACGTTAAGAGATTATTGTATGAATTTTAAAAATTCTCGATGAATATAGATTTAGTTGAGAATAGTGAATAAATTATTTTATCAACTTGTTGCTCTCACGTTTAGGGCAGGTGTAGCAAAAATTTTGGGGTTTTTTGTTCCCAGGCTCCTATCATCTCAATTTTATGCAAAGTATCTTTTATTTGATATAACTATAAACATATAAAAGTTTTGAGTTCGCTCCATGTCTGGAAGTTAGTCTCAAACTTCAAAAAATCCTGCATCCGTCCCTGAGGATAACCCAAAAATGTATGTATGTTTGTATTTATGTATGTATGTATGTATGAATGTATGTATGTATGTATACATGCATTCATACTATATATATATATATATATATATATATATATATATATATATATATATATATATTAGGATAACCCAAAAAAGCGAAAAAAAAAAAAAAAATTCGCTTAAATATATGCAATTGTATATTAAAATTCCATGTTTTTCTTCTCATTGTGCTGCTGCAATTTAAATTCTATATTTTTACTATTGATAGAAACCCATAAAAAAAGATTTTATCTAACGCCAAAGTCTACTATTCCAGGTCACAAAATCTCCTATTTCATCTCAAAAGTTAGGTTCCCGAGACTTAATAGCATCTATAATAAGGGCAAACCTGTTATCCACTTCTCTAGTAATTTTTAGATTTTTTTACCTCACCTCAAGACAAAGCTGAAATGTTTGCTAATAACCTTTTATCAATCTTATCTCTTGATTCTACTTAACACATCCTACCTGATATAGTTAAAAAAAAATTGATCGATTGCTTGGCATTTGTATCACTACAGCTTTTGTATCTAAAGTGATATCCTGTTTAAACTATTCTAAAGCTTTTAGTTCGGACAACATACCTGTTACAGTATTGCAAAAATGTTCTCCGGAGCTGTCGTCTATGTTTTTAAAATTATATAACAAGTGCTTATTATAGTCTTGTTTTCCTTCCTGCTGGATAGCAACATTTGTTACCTTTATTTTCAAAAAAACTGGAGAGCAATCTTGTTTATCTACCGTCCGTTATCGTACCGTTTTCTTGTATCATAACCATAGTTTTTGAATTTTTAAATAACAAACACAAACAACCAAAATCTCTCATCTTGAATCAAATAACTCACTGTTGCCATATCTGAAGCGGATCTTAAAATGATGTCCTTTTTTATATAGAAAAGGTGAAAACAGAGGCAATTTTACGGGGGGATATCGGGTGGGTCTTTACCCCCTATTCCCCAAAGAAGGCGATATTCAAGCTATTCAGTAACTTCCAACTCCAATTCCAATTGTGATTACTTGCAGACTTATTGGAAGTGAAGATGTTGAAAAAAATAATAAAAGTAAAAACAAGCTAAAAAGACAAATTAATATCAAAAGTCTCGATTCAATTAGTTTCGCATGATTTATGATTACGAAAACCATTTTAATTTGGCAGAAAGCATGTTATTACCGTTAATGTAAAATTAAACTATTTGGATTTAAAAAAGATAATTCAACTAACCAGTAATCGAACTGATTAACCATGTATCAGATGCATTCAATAATGAATATTATCCTTTAATAGTTTTTATTGATCTGTCAAAAGCCTTTGATACTGTTAACCATAAAATACTTATAAAAAAACAAGAACTCTATGGAGTAAAAAAATAAAAACTTACTTTGGTTTGAAGCTGGCAAACAGGTCGTAATATACTTTTTATAGAAAAAATGAAAAAGAAAAACACATTACACGTGGTGTGCCACAAGGTTCAATCTGAGGACCACTTTTATTTTTATTGTATATAAATGTAATGTTTTATCTTTATATTTATTATGAAGAGAACTCGCCTATGGTTTTTATTTAATATTTATTTCAATATTTTCATATTAAATTATCACAACTAGTTTAAATATAAAACTCTGTAAAGTTTCGCGTCGAACTGTATTTAAATTCAGCGCACTGGCTTTTAAGCGAGAATTCCTCGTGCGGCATTCTCTCATGGGAATACTTTCGTTATCAGTATTTGTGCAATTCGCAAAAGGGAATTGCTTGTTTTGCAATCGTTAATTGCTATTCTGAATTGTTTTTGCGTAACAATCATTACACCTTCCTTCTTTAAGAAATGCATCTTGTGGTCTAATGATTGACTTTGATTTGTATTTTTATCAATGTTTGTGTTATGCGACAGTTTTCTTTTACCAATGAATATGTCTTTTGATTCATTCATATTGCTTTCATTGTCGGGTAAATCTATTTCTTATTTTGTTTTTAGTAGATGTCTTCTGTTTCTTCTAACAATATTTCCATTTAAGGTTTTTACATTGAAACTTCGTTGCTGTTTGCACTTCGTTGCTGTTTGCTCTCAACAATTTTTCCTGGTTGCCATTTATTTCCATCATGCATACGAACACAGTCTCCATCGCTTGCGTTTTCCAATGTTTTTGCGTTTTTGTCATAATATTTCTTCTGTAAGTTTTGATTACGTTTATTTTTTTCAATAATTTTATTAGCTTTGTTTGTGTTTACAGTTTTTACTTCATTTAGTAGTTTGATAGCTTTTAAGTCTTGTGAAGTTTGTAAGCTAAGAACGAGTTTACTTGTTGTTTCAACTACATAGAATTTAACCAACTTTTTACGACTTTTGTTGTGACACATTATCTTTGATGTTCCAAGCACTGGAATATGATTTCCTCCAAAACCACATAGTTTAACATCACGTGATCTTAGTTGGTCGTAGAGTCTTTTTGGCATAACATCAACATCAGCTCCAGTGTCAATTTTTCCACGTACCAATTTATTATTAATTTTATAGATTATCAAAGCTTCATTTTTACCATTCATTTCACCAGATGAAATGAATGGTAAATTACAGATTCCACATGGTATTCTACAGCACAATTTTCGTGTATATTTTTCAAGTTGCAGCAAGTTGCCTAACGATTTATTTTATTATTAACCGAATGCAGGACAGTTTCTTGGTTCATGTTTTCTGTTGCATTTCTAGCACTGTCTTTGTTGTTGTTTATTATTTGAGCCATTATTGATTTGTTTCCAGCTTTGTTTGTTTGATTCAACCTGGTCTTTGCCTTTTGACTCATTTTCGTTATTCGAGAACTTTCTCCATTCTGGTATTTGTCCGATTGACGGATTTGCTTGTCTTGGTTTTATGAATTTCTTTACCACGTCAATATCTTTTTCGTATGTAATTTGTTTCATTTCTGCATTTGCAACTTCTTCAGCTCTGCATATGTCAATCGCTTTAGTTAAAGTTAAATACGCTCCTTTTCTAAGTAGATTATTTTGGACTTTGTTTGATTTGAATCCGTCAATTATTTTGTATAATATCAGACCATCTTGAATGTTTTCACACTCGTATGTTTGAGCCAGATTTTTTAAATTAGTTACAAAGAAATCAAATGATTCATTGACATCTTGTTTTCGTAAGAAAAACTTTCTTCGTTCCAAAACCAGATTTCTTTTCGGTAAACAGTATTCTTCGAATCTTTCAAAAAGTTCTTTTACCGTGATGTCATCGATTTCACCGTCGTCATATTTATTATGAAGAGAATTTGACTATGGTTTTTATTTAATATTTATTTCAATATTTTCATATTAAATTATCACAACTAGTTTAAATATATAACTCTGTATAGTTTCGCGTCGAAACTTCAACTGTATTTAAATTCAGCGCACTGGCTTTTAAGCGAGAATTCCTCGTGCGGCATTCTCTCATGGGAATACTTTCGTTATCAGTATTTGTGCAATTCGCAAAAGGGAATTGCTTGTTTTGCAATCGTTAATTGCTATTCTGAATTGTTTTTGCGTAACAATCATTACAATAAATATTTATATTTAGCATCAAGTATTTTATATCGTTTTCAGACGACTACAATCTTTTTTCTTCCACAAAGGCATAAAAGTTCTATTTAATATATTTAATGAAGAACTATTAAAAATAAACGAGTCGTTTACAAATAATAGACTTTCGTTAAATGTAGAAAAAACTAAATTTATTTTATTCTTCAATCTATGTAAAAGTGACAACATTTCTTTAAAATTACCCAATCTCGTAATCAATAAAATATTTATTAAAAGGAAACCAATTGTTAATTTTCTGGAGTAATACTAAATGAAAATTTGTCATGGAAGCCTCAGAAAATAAAATCTCAAAAAATATTTCCATATTATATAAAACTAAACACTGCTTCTTTATAATATATGTTTTTCATTTATTCATAGTGCTATCTCTTACTGTAATATTGTATGTGGTAGTACTAACTGTGGTAAGTTAAAAAAAAACTTTATAATAAGCAAAAACACGTATGCAAGATTGTATTTGGTGCGCACAGAAATATTTATTGCGAACCTCTTTTAAGGAAGCTTGGTGCCTTAAGTGTCTATAAACTTAATACATACCAAGTTCTACAATTCATGTTTAAAACAAAACATGGGCTTTCTCCTATTGTATTTCAGTCTTATTTAGTGAAATCTCGCACAAGTATCCTACTAAATTTTAAATTAATAATTTTGTTGTTCCAAAAACTTTATTACTTTTAAATTTTTGTTAATCTTTGATATATTGCGTTATATTTCAGCACGTGTAACTAATTTTTATTTTCATATATTTTTCATTTTCACTATCTCTAATTTTTATTATATATTTTATTATTGCAAATTTTCATTTTATATATAAACTGACAATTTTTTAATGAAAATGGGTCTCGATGATAAGAAGTTTATTTCTTCTGATTGCTCCAGCTCTCTTATTTATTAACACGATTTATTTTACCGTAAATTTTAATATACGCAAATAATAATAATTAAAAAAATGTGCTTTAAGATTATCTTTCCAACATTTATTTTAGATATTTTGCAAGCAACAGATGTAAGTGGTATAATTCGATATTTTTCAACAAGTTATTTATCTTCCTTTTTTATGGACCAAACTATTATTCGTTAGTTTTTAGAGAGTGGGTACTATTGCAGAATTAAAAGATTCATGAATGATTTTTGTAAGTGAAAAAAGATTTTTAGGGGTTCAGAATAGTAAGTTCTTTAATAGTGTTTGAAATAGAGAAATTCATGTTGTTACTACAATTGCATTTTTAGTAAATGTAATTTACTGAAAATGCATTCAGTAAATTACATTTATATATCACTTTGATTTAATGATGGAAATAATTAGAGCTTTCAAGAGTAAACAAAGATTTGAATTGAGACTTTAGAAAATAAACTATATATGGAAAAACTTCAATAATTCTGCCTAAAGTATCTTTTAGAGAACGAACTCTGCTTTTAATTTTTAGCTGTTTATAAATTTGCAGACGAATTTGAGTTATTCTTAAATTTTTATACTATCTTTTTCCTAAATTTTAATACTAATCTTTTTCATGTACTCTTTTTACTTTAAATATTTCAGCTTTAACGGCTCCTAATGACTCTGCACCTACCTTTCCCCCCACCCACCTCCTACTCACTTCGCTACGCTTGTGAAATAAATGTAATTTAAGAACAGTTTTTTGGACATGTTTATACTTACTGGTGTTTGGCGGTGACTTAAACTTACCCTGATGATGGGTTGACCCAGGAAATATGACTTAAGAAAAACCATTATAAATATATTGAAAACCGAAATGTGTGCCATCTTGCCCCGGTCTACCGTACTCTGAAAAACTTATTAAAAAAAAAACCCTTACTTTTTAGACATTTTCCACTTCTAACAGCAACAATGGCTTTTTTTATCGAACAAGCTTTTTTTCTTAACTCACATTCGTTTAAATAAGTGTTGCCATCGCTACCACATAAATGCTGTTCTTCTTTATTACATGGTATGGGGCACCTTGAGTTTATATACTGAACTAAAAAAAAAATAAACAAAACTACAAAAAGTAAAAATAAAATAGTTAAGAATAAGTGAATATTGAGAATATTTAAGAAAAAATTTCTTAAATGTTTTCTGATAGTCCTAGAAGCTAGACATTATTTTATTGTTTACTATTAGAACTGATAGTAAACAATAAAATAATGATAGTAAACAATTTAAAAACAAGCGTTGAATTTTTTTTACAAGATTTCAATAAATGGAAAATTTTTCCATTTATTGAAATCTTGTAAAAAAAAATTTTTTTCACAAGTTATAAGTAAAGAGACCGACGATGTTGGGTTTTTAGAAGCAGGAAAAAAATGCAACAAAAATAAATAAATATTTTTTTTAATTAATAAAAATGCTAGCACCATTTATCATTATAAAAAAACAATACTGACGTCTAAACAAACTTAATTAGCAAAGAAAAATATAATGCTGCCAAATAGAACAACACTGCTTCGTTTGCAAATATTACAAAGGATAACAACAAATACAATGGAATTTCAAATAAAAAATTACAAGTGTTCTTACTGAATCAGCAAATTAAGAGGATGACTGTAATGCGATTAATAAAGCACTGACTATCCCAAAATTATCATGTGAGGGTATAAAAATTAATGAAAAACTTAGAATAAAAGAAAACTCTCTTTCTACTATTTCCGTGTCTAGCTGGATCAACAATAAGTATAATAAAGTAAATTAAATGTTTTAATTATTTTAAGAACCGTAAAATATGTCAATCAACTTAGAATAACGCAAAAGGGCTAAAAATTTTTTTGGTTTTAGAAGTATATAAAGATAATTCTATGAGCAAACAGCACATTACTAAGCACGATATCTTTTTAAGTTTGAAAAGTGTAATCCAAAATCTAATTCTTTTTTTAAATTGGCAACAAGAAATTAGGTTGCAATTCTAGCAAATTCAAAAGTAGTTTTCAAGTTTTATTAGATAAAGAAATAGAATGTTCAAATAACTTGTTGCCGTACTTAATTTAGAGCATGAAGACATCTCTGCTTGCAAGTCTTTCCTGAAAAAGCATAATTTGTACACAAAAAGCCTAAAACCCAGTTAGAAATTTTTCTTTTCGATCACCAAGGAGCGTAATAAGTAGACGAGAGCCTGGAAATAGTCTTACTTTACTCGCCTCTGCATATGGTAAGTTAATGAATATAGTATAGCGACTAAAACACTAGTAAAGCTAAACCTGTTATATTGGCATTGACATGGTTTTCTCACATAAAGATCATGGATAACAAATCTCCTTAAAGTATTGGAAATCATTACTGAAGGTTTAAGTAACAACAATTCATTGCTTGTTGCATTTCTATCTCATCTCAAATTAGGTGGCTATAGTTTTTACAATAAAATTTTTGATTGGTTCAAAGATTTTTCAAACAATAGGAAACAAGGAGTTTACTCAACAATGTCTTTGTTGAATAAATCGACATCTTAAGTGTTGTTCCTCAATTGGTTGTAGAATTCTATTTTTACTTTTTATCTACAACCGTGATTAGTTAAAATATGTCAAAAATATTTGCGGTTTGCAACTTTTTGACTTTTGGTGGCTTAAAAGCCATAAAGTTGCCGTAGATGAAATTATTAAAAAACTTGTAACAAATAAAAATCTGTACTTAAAATGGCCAGTAGAACTTTCAAAAAAAATTTATCTAAGTATGCTCATGAAGCTCAACACAGTGGTCGTCTTCGTAATGACAAGCATAAAATTAAACAAGAAATTACCAGTAACTTAAAATACACAAATATTTTTTAATATTTATTCGAATAAAAAAAAAACATGTGTATTTTAAATTAATGCATATTTTAAATAAAAAAACAAACAAAACAAAAAAACCTTTCTTAATGCTTGCTAAAAATTGATAAAAAAGTTATGACTTTTGCAAATATTTAAAAAATTTATCTAATAGTTAATAATGAATTTTCAAAAGAGAAAACAAGTAAAATGCTTCAATAAGTCAAAAAAATGTATATGCCTTCCATCCTGTTATTAAAAAATAAGGCATATTATTAGTATAAGACGCGTTTTTTTTCAAATCATACAAAAAAAAAATATTAAAATTGTATTAAAAAAGATACTCTAGATTGTAAATTTAGCAAAAACTGTGTATTTTTAAGAGGTGCAATTCAATAGTTCCCGAAATAAACAAAACACCTTAGCAGCTCAGTCTGTTAGTGGACACGTTCTGTGTATAGTAATACATAGTCTATAGGCGTAACTACTTTTGTATGAGTTTATACCTATGCTTATGATGATAATGTACTATGATAGAGATACCTAGACAGCTAGAAATTAATGGAATAATAGAGTGCCCTCATTTTTTGAATTAATTTTTAAAGCATGTTTATAATTTATAAAAATGAGTTTATACGACTGTTTATTAATGAAAATCACGCTTCAAGTATTATTTCTTCTAATCTGTAAGTTTCCTTTAATTAATCAAGTTGACAAAACAAAGTGCTATATATCGTGGTACGCATGGAAAAATAATCAATTAATCGATTTGTTAAGGAGTTTTTAGAATTTAATCTTCTTTTTAATGCACATTAATAACAACATTATTTTTAATACCCAGCTGACACAATTCAGAAAAATGTTATGCTGGCGTTTCCAAAAAATAACACGTGTCAAAAAGAAATTACTTATTACTAATTTTTTTTTTTTTTTGTTAATTTTTTAGTTGCCCCACGAAGTCCTTGCGGTCTTATCACAGAGCACCGAGGAAGAGCATTTAATAGGAAGTTCATGCCTCCTTCCCAACCGATGTCGCAAAACTTGCCCAGAGATGGGGTTTGAACTACGGATCTTACGTGTCTGAGGCAAGTGCGCTACCACTGCGCCACGGCTGCACTAATTACAATAAACACCAGTTAAAATATTATTGGTTTCACTGTTACAGAAACGTCATGTTATATTACAATAACTTTCCGTAAGGAATGTGAAACAACTAATATAAGCATGCGACACTTAAATTAGACTTTAGAACCTCAAAAAACACGTATTAAACTTACCCGTGATATATGGGTGTTTATGTATCGTGAAAAACACGTGTCTATACAGGTTTTAATTCCGAATATAAAAAAAACTAATTGTGCCGGTTGAGTAAGATGTGAAAATAATGTTCTAATTTTATTAACCCTTTAACAGTCTCGTGTTTTTTTTAAAAAACGGTTGCGATTAGTTAAGCTTTTTTTTATAAGACATTTAGAAGACGCCTTTTTTACTTCCGTGCCCACTGGCTAATAAAGTAAATATCTCATATATATATATATATATATATATATATATATATATATATATATATATATATATATATATATATATATATATATATATATATATATACATATATATATATATATATATATATATATATATATATATATATATATATATATATATATATATATATATATATATATATATATATATATATATATATATATATAGGGGAAAACGGGGCAACATGGCGAATGGGGCAAGATGGGTTTTCATATAACAACTCAACAAAAAATTTCAAAATTGGGTGAAAACGAAACTGTATTTGCATCTTGTATTTTAAAACACCAATTGGTTTTTTGAAATATTATTAACGCCATTTTATACAAATAAGTTTACTTTTTGCGCTTAAAAAAAAATTCCTCACTTTCGGTTTTTGTATATATATATATATATATATATATATATATATATATTATATATATATATATATATATATATATATATATATATATATATATATATATATATATATATATATATATATATATATATATATATATATATATTTATATATATATATATATATATTAGGGTAGGCTAAACGCCCCTTATTTTTGAAAATCAGAAGGCACTGTTTTCCATATGCTGTGGGTGCTCTCTATGATCAATAAAAAACAAAATTTTACTCGTTTGCAGAATTTTTTGACCCCGCTCAATAGGCTCAAAGATCAAATTTTTATTACAAATTTTCGTATTGCGACAGTTTAAACACCCTTAAGAAATTAAAATAAAAAAATAATGATTTTCATCTGATTTTTTAGAAGTTTACGATCATTTTAAGCCTATTCCCATCGTAATTCAATGAGATTTAGGCTGCCTACAAGCATTAAAAGGACTAAACTTTTGACCTTGTTTCTTAAAAAAAAAAACCGGCTTAAATTTTAACATTTTAAAACTGCCGGTTTTTTTATTTTATTGGGATTGCAAATCTTTAAGGAAGCTTTTTACTTGTAATTACTTTTTCGGCATAACAAAATTATTAAGAAATAATAGCATTATAATAAATAAGATTGCAGTTGCTGGGAGGGTTAGGCAGGGGTGGAGAATACGCCCCCTTCCCCCCCCCCCATTTTTTATACAATTTTTTTAACTTTTTGAACAAAAAAGAACTGAATTAAGTGTTTGTTTGTGCTATATTTAAGTTAAAGTGTGACATACCTATATAACAGTATATAAAAAATATTGTTTTTATTAATAACTTATCACATTATATTATTTTTAAAAAAGCGGGAAAAGATATCAAATAAAAATATCAGTTTTTTTGATAAATGACTTTATTAAGAAATATAGAGAACACCCTTTCAACTGCCTTATAGATATCGAGTTCTGCAATATTTAATTTGTATACAAATCAAACCTAAAAAATAAAACTTGCAATATAGACTCAATGATATAGTTACAGTAGAATAGCGTTAACACTGAATAAAGTCAGTCAGATTTCAAATTCTCCCTTGGACTTTCTATACAAACCAAGAGCTTCGCTTGAGTAGGACATTCTCTAAGTCATACAATTTATCTATTCCATTTTAGAGTTCAACTTAACTGGATTTCACTGTATATGCACATTTTCCCTATAGCAGTTTTAAAATGTATAATTTGGAGGGTGTTATTTTTTAACTGCATTGTTCTTCGCTAATAAAAATCTGGAAAAGACGTTTCCAATAAACTGTTCTTTATTGATATTAGGACTTAAAATCACTAGTGCTAAGCGCTCAACATTTATATTTGCACCATAAAAATACTGTTTTATTATTTTTGTATAAAAATGAAAACAAAGCAGTTTTTCCTTGGCTATTTCAATATAATATTCTTTAATTTAAACTATTATAACTAATTACATCACTTAAATGAACGTTTGCAGATGTAACAGAAGTACCAAAGTCCTTTAAATTTCCACCTGCTGAGTTAATGATATTAGCCAATGTAGCGATATGTGCTGAACTCTGAATACCGTATCTCTTTGCTGTAACAGCAGTGGCCTTTAAGATTTTCCTAGGTAAGATAACTTCAACAAAATATGGTTTTCTTTTATAAGATCTTGGTTTGCTTTACTTTTGATATTAAAAATCTTGATTATCCTCTTTGTAACTTGATTCTACACTGCAATTGCTAACCTAATTTAAATTTAAATTGGTAATAAATTTAGAAGCCAATTATTTACTTCTTGAAGTAGTCATTCTCTTATTGGTAGATTCGATCTCCTTTTGCTTTCTACGAGCTACAAGTAAGTACTTCTAGTCTATTCAAACCCATCCCAGTTTCACGTCCTTGTTGATCAATCAATAAATTTATATCAATATTTCTTTCCTTTTTAATCATTTGCTTGTTTGATAAAATATTTTGTTTTTATGTTGGTATATTCATACCAATATCAAATAAGCACTTTATTTCACATTTGTAGATACCTATTTTTCTTAATATTTGTGGTGTCACGTCATTTGTTCTTAAAAAGCTTCTTTCTTTGATCTTCCAACACAATATCTTACTTCTATATAAAGAAAACAACATTTTATTCTTACAGTAAGATTCTTAGAATAAGGTAATAATATTTTTATTATATATTTGTAACTATATAATATATAATTACAAATATATAATAAATTCTTTTCCAGATTTTCTTAAATGAAAAAACAACACATGTGCATTTAAGAAAAGATAACCCTCCAGGGTTATTGCAACCAATTTCAAAATTCCCATGTAGAAATTTGCAAGAACCCATATCACAGAGTCTATATTTTAAACTTTCTTTTCTTGCTTTGAATAGTTTGCCATGTAAATATTGCAGAACTTGCTCTCCAGTAGGCAATTAAGATGATGGTTGTATTTCAATAATATCATTTATCAAAAAAACTTTACATTTTGATCTTGTATCTTTCCCATAATTATCATAACTAAAATTATTTAACGATTTTTCCATGCGAAAAAATTAAATACTGCTTAAGACCTTTAAAACAATTGCGATCTCAGTAAAATAAACAACCGGTTAATAAAAAATGTTGAAAAACCCGGTTAATTTTTAAGGAAACCGGGTCAAATCTCTGGGTCCAAAATTCTTGAGCACAGTCTTAGTTTTATTCAATTATCATAAAGTTAGGCTTAAAATGATCATATGAACATTAAAAATAAATTAAAAAACAGTGCCTTTGAGATTTTTATTTTGAAGGTTATCTTAATTCATTATATGAATTTTTGAGGTCAAAATTTGATATTTGAGCCCATTGAGCGGGGTCCAAAATTTGTGCAAATAAGTTAAACTTTGGTTTTTATTGATCACAGAGTACACCCACACCACATGAAAAACAGTGCCTTTTGATTTTCAAAAATGAGGGGCGTTTAGCCTACCCTAATATGTATATATATATATATATATATATATATATATATATATATATATATATATATATATATATATATATATATATATATATATATATATATATATATATATATATATATATATATATATATATATATATATATAAGAGGTGCAGGCTTTCACTTTCAATCTTGAAGGTAAAAAACTACATTAATATAAATCTCGTTCCGGCTGGAATTCCAGTCGAACTTTGTTTAACAATTGAAAACTTCCAATCCGGTACACCACCAAGAGTATACATAAAAACTATTGAGTAAAACTATTTTTATAACTTAATCATTAAAGCAAGAGTAGGTATTTAATTAGGACTAGATCATTAAACACGGGGTTTAATCACAATTAAGAAACAGCCGTTATTGGTTTTTATTTGGCGGAGAAATTAAAAAGTTTTTAAAAACAATTTTATATTGCTTTATATACTACCATTTGCACGCAAGCTCTTCTTTGCTTTTCTTCCGTTCAAAAAACATCAAAGATATGTTAAAGCTCAAATTTAAATTATTAAAAAGTTCAATACTTAGAATATTATAAAACAATGTAAAATAAAATAATGGAATAAATAAACTTACAGCAAATAATTGCCAATAATAGTAAGAAAAAATATTTTTTCATTTTTCCAAAACTTTTAGCGAACAATTTAAGTTCACTCAAATAAAAAAAACAGAAAACATCTGAACAAACATTAAAAAAACGCGATTTTATGTTTAACAATTATGCGCTAAACAACGTTCACTAAAAAGCTTTATCTACTTGTAAACATGGGAAAATGTCAACACATAACAGCGGGGACGGACGTAAATTTGCACGTTTTTTTAATTTTTTTGTGACGAATTTAGAGCCGCATGCTTTGCCAAGCACTGTTAAACTGGGACGTGTTTGTAATGGCAAAATAAAGCTATTAGCTAAATTTACGCCAGAAGCCTGGGCCTGAAATTATCCGTTTTGTAGAGGAAAAAATAAAAAGTGGTAGCTTTGCTTTAAAACTTTTACAGTAAAGTAAAGTAGATTTTTGGGCTGCTGTTCATAAAAAAAGGAATTAGTAGTTTTAGCTATATCCTACATTTCGAAATGGTTAGATGAACGTGTGCTTCTGCTTTGTGTTTTAATACCTACTTTTTCTCAATAGTCTTTTATCGTCTTCACTGTATAGAAGCTGCTCAAAATGAATACTAAAAAGTTTTCAAACTGGTAGAATGAATTGGTATCATGGTCATATTTTTATAGTTCATAGAAGTAATGAAGAAATAGCGTAACATTGTTGTCTTTGCGTAAATATAATAAAAGAGCTAATATAGGACAGCGCAATCCACAAGACTATTGGACAACTACAATATCCTCTTTTAAAAGTTACGGTTTCAAGTATCACAACAGCGGGTCGTATATCAGCACTACATGGCTTTTTAATAATTGCCTGGCAAATATACTACACTGATACCCTCCAGTTATTTCACTAAAACAATTTTTCTGTTCAGTAGCATTCTTAAAGTTTTTTATTGTAGGCAAAATCTCCTCTATTTTTTATATGAACAATAGTTTAATAAAATTTTCTTGCTGATAAGGATGCGAAGTTTCGTCTAAAGACCATTTTGATGTTGCTGGAAGTATATCCATCGGGAATGCCTCCAAAAATATCAAACACATAATTTTATTTTGTTTTTTATCTTAATTGTTCAATTAATTTGCATACAAAAAAAAACTTCTAAGTTCTTTGACGCAACTCTTCCAGTGTTCCTGATACTGGCTGTTTTCTAGAGTCACAGAAAACATCGGACTTTATTTAAAAAATTAACTTTTTCTGACATGATGTAACTTTGAACGTAAAAAAACATTTACATTTAAAAATAGACTTTTTTAAACTTTTAAATCAATATGCATATTTAAATCAATATGCCACGATACAACTTTAAACTTAAACCAGTATTTTTAATCAAATAGATTTGACATTTGATATAAACAAATTCATTTACATTTAAAAATAGACTTTATTAAATTTTGTTGTTATTTATTTTGTTGACATTTTAATTTTTTTACACTACAAGCTAAAATAAAACCACGGCTATGTTTCAATCGATTTGGCCATACTCCAATAAATTAATGTATTATTTTCCAGGTTTCAAAAATATAGTACTGACTATTTTATCCTACATTTATAAAAAATACACATGCCCGTTATTAAAAATCCTCCACACAGATCTAGTTTTCTTGCGGTTGATAAATGAATGCCTCTGTTTAACATATTACCATCTTATTTATTATTACCATCTATTTTACCCCCTGTTTTACCACCAAATCTTGAAATAGTTTGTCAATGTTCTTCAGATAGTGTTTTTACTAGGACCGATGGCATATGATTTAAATCGTCTCTCCAATATGTTCTTCTACTAATTTTAATGGAAGTATTTTTTACCTTGTATCCCACGTCATTCGCATTTTTCTAAAGTTTTGTTTTTCGTCTGCATAAGTGACGTGCGTGTAAATACTTTTTGTTTGTTAAACAACTATTACAAATGTTTTTGCGCTTTTTAATTAAATAATCTTTTTTGTTGTACTAGAACCCAAAAAAAGCAATTTAAAACAGTATATGTACTTGTCAAAAAGTGTAAATAAAATAAAATATAGGGAAAAGGACTTAAAAGATCTTCTAGCTTCTTTTTTAAAAAAATATGAAGAATAATCTATACAGATCAACATTTTTTTTTATTTTTTTCAGTGAAATATAACTGGCAATTTGGATTGAAATTAGATAGGGTAGATTAGGGTTATATGAGCACCTTGGTAATACGAGCATACTTAAAGATTTATTAGATGTAAGCAGTGAAGTTAAAGTTGCTTTATGTTTTTCGAATAGGCTTTATGTGGTGATAACAGGAATCAGTACAATTAGCGTAAATTTATACGCAGTAATTAGCGGATATCATCTAATTAAAACGCTTTTAAATTTTGTGCTTTGTTAAAAAAAAGTCGTGAATATTTCTGTGGCGCGATATTTTGGTGCTAAAATAATGAAATTAATTTTTTCATAAAGAAAAATATATTAGCTAAAAATCCAATTCATTTTTGTTTGAAAAATAATGCATAGAAACATTTATTTTTGACTTTATTTAAAGATACCATTTTTGTGTAATATGAGCATGCTCAAATTACCCAAAGCTTTTCATTGAAATTGCTTAGTTTAAAGTCCTAAAATAGCAGTGGTTTTTAATTGCTTCTTGAATAAAAACAAAACATAGTAAAAAATTTTAATATATTAACAATACTAAATATTTTTCTGTAACTTAAATCTAAAAAATTTTAATTTTTATTGTTCAAAGGTTTGAGTTAACAAAATTGAAAAAACAATGTATTAATTTTTTTTTTTTGGCGGAAAATATAGTAGTGTTTCAACAAAATGTAGCTTAAAATTTTAATGATATGTTTTGTTAATCACGAATCCTTATATCTCAACAATTAGTTCTATTAAGCAGGTTGGTCTTTTTTTACTTAATTAATGCTATTTTTTTGAGCTAATTTAAAGTGCTCATATTATTAAGGGGTCTGGGTAATACGAGCACTTTTGCTACTTTTTTAAAACCTCTGTGTTTTTAAGAAAAAATGTCAAGTGCCCAAATATCTAAATAGATTATGAATAGCGATCCCTAAAAATTGTTTATTTGCAAAAATTTTGGATCCAGCATATTTATTTTTAAAAATATTCCAATTTTTGCTTAAGGTGCTCATATTACCCTAATCTACCCTACCATCAAAATAATTCCTGAAAAAGTTGTCTAAAAATTCGTAAATGTTTATCTTCGAAACTTGTCACCCGGAAAAATTCACGTGACTGGGTTGCCTATATATATAGTATAATATATTGTTTTTTTTTTTTAGCGCAGTAGAGGACACTATTATACTTTTATAGTTTTTCGATTTTAATATTAAAATAAAAATGACTATATTTTATTAAAACTTTTTAGGGGGCTCTATAAAAAGACTGCGACGACCCACAGTGAGTCAAAATCCATAAAAAAGGGCAAAGAACCCCCCATAAATATTTTTTGCTAGAAAATAAATAATTAATTTATAATGTCACTAAATACCACTAAAAGACAATTTTTTTAAAATAATTTTCAAGATTTCACCAATTTATACGTCTTTTCCCGAGACTTATTTATTTTATTTATCGGAAAACTCCTTCAAAAAAGTCTTTATTAGTGTCACTCTTTTAAGATTGATGTAGGTAAAAACAGTTCAAAATTTAATTGGAAGTCATATGTTTAAGATGTTTGGTAACTATAAACAACATTTTTAACAATAAATTTTAATTTTAGATTTTCATTAATGAGATCTCAAAAATATGTCATAAATTGATTTTTTAAAATTACTTTAATTATGAGTTTAGTTTAATTAAGAGTTATAAGTTACTTTAATTAAGAGTTATAAGATTCCACTAGATTCCATGGTAGTTTTAATATTTTCCCATTAATAGGTATATATGAAAGCAGAAAAAATAAAAATCATTTGCCCTAACTTGCCCCAATTAAAATAAGACCTTTTAAATACTTCGTTTTTTTTTGAATTTTTTTTTTCCGTTTTTAATTATAACTTGCGCATAAAGTAGCGAACAATTGTTCATTGCTTGCATTCATCACACAAATAATACATTTAATTCCTATTACTAAAAAAACTCATGCTCAAGCAGATGGTGCTAACTATCAAACCTCAAAACCAATTAAATGAAAAAGTTTTATCTTTAGGACTTTCTACTCTGCATTGTTGGCTCAGATCTTTTGAATATATTTTACATTTAGGATATAAGTTAAACATTAAAAAATACTTTGCCAAATCCCCCGCTGAAAAAGCATCAGTGAAAAGTAGAAAAAAGAACATTCAATTGAGGTTTAGTGAGGAGCAAAGTCTTATAGTTGATATGCCTAAACAGGGTTTTGGCAACACTAACGATGGAAAAACTGCCAGAAGGGCATTTGAAAATGCTGAAACTTTCGCTGATATAACGGGAGTGTCAGTAGATGTAATTATTAGATTGAGGACAATCCTAATATCAGTATGCTCCTGTTATGAGTTAAACTCAGAAAGTTTTGGCCAGTATTGCTATGAAACTGCAGCTCTTATACTCAAAAACTATTGCTGGTATATGATTCCCCCAACTGTTCATAAACTCTTGGAACATGGTGTGCAGATATCTGAGGCATTAGAACTGCCAATTGGTTACTACTCTGAAGAGTCACAAGAGGCTCTGAATAAGGAAATTCGCAAAACTAGATTAAACCATACAGCCAAGATATCAAGAAAGAATGTTATGAAAAACCAGTACCAATACCTCTTGATTAGAAGTTATCCTGTAATATCAAACATTTGTTTCAAAAAATACAAGGTTGAAAATGGAAAAACACTTACCCCTGAAGTTTTATCTTTGTTAATGCTGTAATAATGAAATAAAGCTTTTTTATAACTTTAGGTTTTCTTTTTTTGTTTTCTTGAAAGATAAATTAGATGAGATAAATATTTATTTTGTATTTAATATAGTTTAATATTATTATAATATTAAAAGATTTTTTGAATTCAATTTTTCTTTTTAATAAGTATATGTTTTGGTTTGAAGAATCTAATTTTTTTAAATTAAGTCTTTGTTCGCGTTAAAGACTATAACACGTATACGCGTGTATACGTGTTAGAGTCTTATACGCGTGTACGACCCTTAGGCACTATTGACCCTTAGGAAAAATATACATTAAAAAATATGTG